AGCCCCTGCCTGTTCGCCCAGCGGTCCCGCCCCCTTGTGCCCCGCGCGGTATAAAAGGGCGGGAAGGGGCTGAGGTCTGAAGGGCCTGGGCAGGGCCAGTTGTTGTGGTTGGGCCTGTATCTTCCCGTGGGGAAACAGAGCCCACAAGTGTCCATGAGAGGGGCTTGGAGCTGCCAAAAATGTGCAGTTCTGTGCCGTGGGAACCAGCGTGCGGAGCCTGATGGGGCTGGGATGGCAGGAGGCCTGAGGAGCGGCGTCCCCAGGGGAGCTGGTACTTCCCTTGGGCTGAGCAACAAGCGCCAGCAGCTCAGGGCCTGGTCTGGGCCTCTCCAGGTGAAGCCACATTCAAGTACCCGATCTCAGGAGGTTGAGAGGAGGACAAGCTAAAGGATGAGTCTTGGCCTTCAGCTTCTTCAGGCTTTGTGTCCTGCAGGGCCTTCAGGGAGTCTGGCTCTGGTGATGGGAACCTGGGCACACGTGTCCTCTCTTCAGGCCTTCTGCAAACTGGGTCTGACCCTCCACCCCCTGCACAGCCCCCTGCTCCTCCCAGCACCTCTGCAGGGCAGTGCCCGAAGCCTTTTGTACGTGCTCAAGCTCCTCCAGCCACGGAGGTGACAGCCCTTGTCTGCCCCAGGACCTGCTCAGACTGTCTGTCCCCCTCAAGAGCAGCCAAAAAATGGAACCAGGTCCACTCTGCTGGGTCTCCAGCAAGCAGAGACCCAAGTTGCAGAGTCTCTCTGCCCTCTCCTTGCCCGTTTTTGGCACACACAAGGAAAACAAAACAAAAAAAACACCCGTGGAGGTGAAAGCACAGGATGGAGCAGCCAAAACACTCAACTCCTCCCACCCCAGCAGGTGTTCCCAGCCTCGTTTCCCCCCGTGGTACCTGGTCTGGGAAGGTGGCACCACCTTCCTCTGTGGTTGGCATTCGGAGAAGCTGGTGCTCTTGGAGTCCTGGAAGGAGGAACAGAGGCTTTCCAAGCAGGAGGCACATGTCACACCCCAAATCTCAACACACACCCTTGGTCTTCAGAGTGCCCCCAGCACCACTGCCAGCACCCAGAAGAGCTCCAACCCCACAGAGCTTTGTCCTTTGGGGCCAAATGTTGGACTTGACATATTTTAGGATTCGTTTGCAGAAGACACCAGGTGCTGCAGCCTCAGACCAGGCCCCCTCAGAGCTCACCTCTGTGTTGGGAGGGCGGATGCTCCTCGGGTTGTACTGTGAGCTGGGCAGGTGGCTGGAGGGCTGGAGTTTGCTCTCGTGCAGCTGCATCTTCTCCTCATCCAGCATCTTCACTCTGAGCATGTCCCACATACCAGACACAAGTTATTCTCCTTCTGGCCACTCTACCTTTTCAAATGGGTAATTTTCTTTTGCAACCTCAAGACCCTCTGGCACCCACAGCCTTGAGCTGAACACTGAGGGCTTGGATGGGGAAGGGAGATAATTACATCCCGCAGCAATTAAAACTACAGCACTGGTGAAAGGGGACACAGGTCAGGCTTTCCTCTGGATTTCTTAAGAGAAATGGGCATAAACCAGAGAAGGGCAGGTTGGATGGGGCTTGGAGCAACCTGGGCTGGTGGGAGGTGTCCCTGCCCATGCAGGAGGGTTGGATCTAGATGATCTTGAAGGTCCTTCCAACCCAAACCATTCCATGATTGTATGAAGCTCTGGGAAGGGGCAGGCTCCCACTGGGCTACACTAAGTGCCTACCTGCTCTGCTGGGTGGCAATCATGGACCTGTTGCTCCAAGGGGTCTCCTGTTGGCCAGTGATCTTCTGGAGGAGCTGCCTTCTTTCCTGGAGTAGTTTCTCGTTCTCAGCAGTGATCTGTGTGATCAGCACCTTCCCCTGAGGGTTGTTGCAGAAGGAAGTAACAACCAGAGGTGACACTTCACTCATCCCTGTCCTCTGTCAACCTTGGAGCACTGTACCAAAGGGGTCCCCAACACACCCACTCCTTGCAGTGCTTCACTCTGGGAGGTCACACCCCAAAAGAGGCTTTTGAGTCACTTCCCAGCGCTCCTATTTCTCAGGCAAAAGAAGATGGAGCTCTGGCAGCTTCTGAATGGGTTTGGAGGACCTGGGTTCCCCTCCAGGCCAACTTCCCAATTTCCTGTTGGCTTTCTGTTCCTGCAAGGCCAGGCTGGTGCCCCTTGGCCCTGCCAGCTGCTCCTTGCAGGAGCACAGAGCAGGAGCAGCACATCAGGCAGAGCTCCCACTGCTCCCACTGTCTTAACAGTGCAATCCCACTCCCTGCTGTCCCTAAACCTCCTTTTTTCCTAACCCACACTTCTTTTTGGAAGAAGGGATGGTCCTGCTCCTCTGCCTTCCCCTGCAGGAGAAGCCCTTGATGTTCTCTCACCTTTTCCACTTGGACCTTGGACTCGCTGAGCTCGTTTTCAAGATGCTTAATTCTGCTGTCCCTCCATTTCACCTCCTGGATGAAGGTCTCCTTGGCTCTGCGGATCTTCTCCTTGTGCCTGAGCTGCATTTCCTTGTATTTCCTGAGGAGATGGAAGGGCAACCCATCAGGCTGGGGAATGCTTTTGTGTTCTGGAGGTGACCTATATTGGTGAGAGCCTGAACTGGGAGCCTCACCCAGCGACCCAGCTCCTTGGGGCTGTGCAGCCAAAGGCAGAAACAGGACAGAGACTTCCTGGTTTATGTCTTTTCACTGATCAGTTTGTTTAGTTGTTGGGTTGGGATTTTTTCTTGCCAAGTGATATTGGTTAAATGTCAACCAAATGGAAGCACTATTGAGGGAAAGGGACACAAAAGCCTTCCCAAACCTGACAACCAGCCCTACAAAACCTTGTGCTCGCCCCTCTCAGGGGTATAAAGTCACCAGTACTGGAGGGAACAGCAAAAGGGTCAGTTGTTTATTTGGGTGAGGATGTGGCTGAAGTACTGGGGGTGGGGGATGCAGACAAGAATCTTCAACAGCAAAGCAAACAGGTTGCAGAAGGAGCCACGTCAGGGGGAGCTTCTTACAGCTGCAACCCTGGGATTCCATTTGTGCCCTGGGGAGAAACCAGCAGCTCCAGGGAGCACCTCTGCCATCACCAGACCCACAACAGCAGCACCCACAGCCCACCCAGGGCACCCCCTTTTTGTCTGCACTGCTTTCAGCTGCCATGGAGAACGTGGCAGCAGAACAAGGTGCAGAACAGAAGTGCTCAGGTTAAGGCAGAGCTCTCCATGCTCAGTGCCTCCACCAGGGGACACAAGGAAGGCTACAGACCAGTCAGACCCAGCATCACCCCCAGGCACATCAAGAGCAATGCCTGGGTGGGTTTTTTGGGGTCTGGTGCTTCAGCCATTACCTGACAAACAGATCCTTCTGGTTCAGGAGACAAACTCCTTCCTCATAAAGGGCTTTGTTTTCCTCTTTCAGCAGTGAAAGTTGCTCTGAAAGCTTCTGGTTCTCCTTCTGACACTGGAGGTGCTGGAAAACATCTCGTTTTGATTTGTGTGTTTGTCCTCAGCTGTCCCCACCCTCTGCTTCCTTTCAGTCTGATCTCCAAAGCTTCTCTGTCGGAGACCCCAGTGGTTCCCACTTCATCTTATCCAATCTTCAGGAAAGGGGAGTGTGGGTTTCTGTGCTGCTGGGGGGCCTGTGGGCTCCAGCAGGGCAGAGGGACGGAATGAACCCACCCAGACAGGGGCCTCTGCCAAGAGGTTCCTGCCCTTCCCACTTCAACTCCTCCTCTCTGCCCTCAGAGCTGCTTCCCCAGGAAAGCTACAGGAGATGAGATGGTGCTTTTCCTCCAGCTGCTGTTTAACCCAGTGGGATCTGCAAGGGCTCAGCACCTTGCTGGATCTGACCCTATTTCAGCAGTTCCTGGGCACAGTTTCTTTCACACTGGGATGGTCCCGTTTGCCCCTAGAGCTCAATGCTCTGGTCTGGAGTTGACCAGCAGCACAGGAAGCCCTGGGCGATGAGGACCCTGTGCTGCAGCTCACCTCACTTGAGTCAGTTTTCCTCTCATCTTCCAGGACATGGGGAGTCTTGGCCTGGAGCTCCACGTCCATCTTGCCCAGTGACGCCTTCGTCTCCCGCAGACGCCGGAGCTGCTGCTGCAGCTCGTCCACCTGCTGCTCCAGGAGCTCCCTAGAAGCATGTTGGTGTGACACTTGGACACCAGCTCGTGAATTCAAGGCTGGCTGTGAACTAAAAACATCATCATACTGCTATGCACCTTCCTGGGGCAACGCTGAGGGCAGAAAGATATGGGCACATCCTGGTTGCTCCCATGCCCTGGTGGCACATGAAAGGTGCTTGATGTATCTGGGGCCATCGGTCCCACTGCACAGGAATGGAGACCAGGGGCACCCAGAGGGTAAACCCCATCCCTGGGCTGCCAGGAGGGGTCATGCACCTTCTGAGGTGGCTGAAGGCTCCACAAGCTTTTTACATCTCAAAGAGGGGATGCTGTGGAGCTCTGGCAGGTCAAAAGGAGAAATCAGAGGTGAAAACCAGTGCAGTGACTCCTGGAGCCCACCTAGGGACAGCCATGGAGCTGCAGGAAGCAGCCAGGGGCTGGCACAGCAGCATCTGTTGGCACACACCTCTCCCCAACACAGCACTGGCCTCACCCAGCTCTGGGTACCTTTTCAGCTGCTCCTCATGAAGTTCTCGCCGCACACCAGCTTCATTTTCTCGGGCCTCCTTCAATTCCCCCTCCAGGAGCTTCTTGTCTGAAGCACAAGCCTCTGCCAGCAGGAGCTGCTGCTGTGAATCCTTCAGCTTTCGTTGGAGTTTGGAAATCTGGGATTAAAATTGGACATGGATTAAACTTCCTGAATGTACAGGCCAGTATCTGAATCCAAGGGATTCAGATCCCTTTGATCCCTCAGTATCTAAGGCATGGGAATGGAAGTTTTGCTTCCTTCTACTCCCAAGTACTTCTGCATGTCTTTGTGTCCATGTCCATTTTCCAGTGGCCCCCAAGTTTGGGGTCAGACCTTATGTCATGGACCAGCAACAACCCTTTTTGCACCCAATTGATAGAATCATGGAATGGTTGAAGTTGGAAGGGACCTTAAGATCATCAGGTTCCAACCTCCCTGCATGGGACACCTCCCACCAGACCAGGCTGCACGAGCCTCATCCAGCCTGGCCTTGAACACCTCCAGGGATGGGGAATTTGACCCTGCTCTCTTCAAAACCAAACCAAACAATGAGTGTAGGATCAATGTCATGGAAAACTCCAGCTGTTGCAATTCACCAAACAGCAAATTGCACCAAATCACCTCAGCAAGAACGTGTTGTGGGCTCCCTGTGCCTGCCAGCTCTGCCACCAGTCACCTGAGACCCTGAGCTTTAGAGCCAGGAGTCGAGCCATTGGATTTGGGTTCTGTTGAGGTGATGATGCTCCCACTCCTAGCAGGCATTTTTCCTGAAATATTCAGCCATGGAATGGATGGGGCAATGGATTCAAACTGGAGGCCAGGAAGTTCCACCTCAACGTGAGGAAGAACTTCTTTACTGTGAGGGTGACAGAGCCCTGGGCCAGGCTGCCCAGAGAGGCTGTGGAGTCTCCTTCTCTGGAGCCTTTCCAGCCCTGTCTGGATGCCTTTCTGAGTGACCTGCCCTGGTTTGGGTCCTGCTCTGGCAGGGGGGCTGGACTCAATGATCTCCAGAGGCCCCTTCTAATTCTATGAAAACACTAAAAACCCACCCCCCATTAGCTCACACTGACCAGTTACCTTTTTCTGTGCTTCACACACTCTGGATTTCTCCTGTGCCAGTTTCTCTTGCAGTCTGCTCTGCAGTTTATCAGCTTGGGAGCATCTCAAGAGCTTTTCTTCAAGTTCTCTCACCTTCTTCTGGCTTTTTTCCCACTGTGCTGAGAGACAGGAGCACATTTCAGTCGTGTCCACAAGTCTGGCCTGGGCTTGCTTCAGCTTAGCTTTGACCTGAGTTTCAAAAGATGAAGAAATCAAGTTTGTATTTCAACATATGTAATCTGGAATGTCTTGATTAGGAGGAGGGCAACAGGGTGACTGGACAGTCAGGGAAGGGAAGAGGGAAGAGGGAAGAGGGAAGAGGGAAGAGGGAAGAGGGAAGAGGGAAGAGGGAAGAGGGAAGAGGGAAGAGGGAAGAGGGAAGAGGGAAGAGAAGAGAAGAGAAGAGAGAAGAGAAGAGAAGAGAAGAGAGAAGAGAAGAGAAGAGAAGAGAGAAGAGAAGAGAAGAGAAGAGAGAAGAGAAGAGAAGAGAAGAGAGAAGAGAAGAGAAGAGAAGAGAGAAGAGAAGAGAAGAGAAGAGAGAAGAGAAGAGAAGAGAAGAGAAAAAGCAAGCACGTTGTGTTTGGAGCTGGGGTGATTTCCACAGAGCCAAGACAGAGCACGGTCCAATCTCAGTGAGGTCCAGCCAGTTGAAACCAGCAACTCAGTCCTCCCCCAGCTTGTCAAACGATGTGATGCTCTCTCCAAACACTTCTCCCTGCCCTGCTCCTACCTTGGTGCATTCCTGTTGGAGCAGGAGGTTTTGCTTCTCTAAGTCTGCGCTCTTCTCCCGCTCGTGTCTCAGCTCCCTCTGGGCTGAGCTGCACAAGCTCTGGACATGACACAAGTCCTGCTGCAGTTGCTGCATTTTTAACTCCTGCCTCTGGAAGCTCTTGTTGGACAGACCCTGCAGGAACAGCAAAAAGAGAAAGGAAATTAACTTCAAGGGATGATAAAGACTGGGAATTAAGACAGGCAGAGGCAGGATTTAAGGAGGAAGGCGGGTGAAGCCAGGCAAGCTTTTCTTCTGCCCCCACACTATGTCCTGATCCCCCCTCTTTCCATCCCTTCAGAGAAGGTGACACAACTCATGAGGCTGAGGGAGAAAATGCAATCACCTGGGTGAGGGAACCAGTCCCTATTCAAACTCACCTGTCAAACAAAAGCCAAACCACCCAGGTTGCTCTTCACTCCTGTGCCAGAGTCTCAAGAAGACAAGGGAGCAGTCGTGGCACATCCAGCCACCAACCCCAGGAACAAGCAAGCCCTGGCAGTGGCACAGGAACAAATGTGCTGGCACAATGTGCTGGTCATTGTGCCTGGGCACCATGAGGTGCTGACCGATGGTCTGTGGTGGCTTTGGAAGACACCTGAGCTCTCTGGTTCACCCATCTCCTTGCAAGTGCCTTGTACACGAACCCAAAGCTCTGCCCGTGCTGGGTGCACCAAAATCCTTCTTCCCAGCATCACTTCCTGCCCCCCATCCATCTGCCTTCCCACTTTGTGTTCTCACCCTCTTACCATTTGCAATCTCTGATTCTGGATCAGGCAACAACCCCTGGTGAGGAACCAGCAGGAGACAGCAGACATGATACACCCTAACTACAAGCTCAAAGGTTTCTCCTCTCAAATGCCCAAAAACCTGTTGAAACCCAGAAGAGAGACAGTTCCAGAGAAACACAAAGAGCTCTGGGCACAGCACAACATCAACATTTGCAAACCCAAAACCACTGTCCAATGTATTCACCCATTCTGCATGTTGGACATCCCACCAGACACCTCAACCAGCCCCAGATCCTGCTCTTTGGGTGCAGGTGACCCAGCAGAGCCCCATG